TTTTTTTTTTTTTTTTTTTTTTTTTTTCTAACATTTTACGTCCCTTCAGTTCTTTGCGTCGATTATATTAAAGTACCTATCAAACGCTGCGGGGTTAATCAGAATAATTGATGCTTAAAAATTTCATGCGGTAATCGCACGCATAAAAGAATATGACTTTTAATTAATTTATATTGCATTACATTTGATTCGTTTTCAACTGCTACGTTTCGCTTGCTAGGCTATTGAAATATATTTATATTTCCTGTACCAATTATTACGTTTTATATATATTTATTATGTTGACACATAGTATACTGTATATAATATTTAGAAATATCTTTTATTTAATTTACGTTTTTACGAAATCATTTCAACTAATCATATCATCGTATTTGACAATATGTAATTTTGTAGCTAATTTGGAGATTGAAAAGAGGGAATTTTGACATACCTTGTACACTCACTCATGCTCGCACATATATATCTTTCTTAATTATTTACACATTAATTTAAATTGCCGTAGAGCGAAAGCGGTAACATATTATATTACATTATTAACCACGTAATATAATATTAATAATATGCTAATTAAGTTTTAAATTGAATTTATCGATTGCCGAATATTTTGGAAATTGTCCGTGAGTTTGTTATTGCAACAAGTTTCGGTGTCATTACTTCCCACGGTACGATTACTTAGATTAACATTAGGGATTTACATTGCTAAACATATTGGCTCGTGAACATGGCCTCGTTCGTGAAAGTCGCCATATTGCTTCCGCTCTTCGTAGATCAATGAGATTTACCTTATACTCGCGTTGCAAACTCCAATTCTGTTTGCGAGATATTTTGCATCAAAAATTGGAGCGCGATACTATATGTTTCCACCGGGATTTATATCGCAAGCGATGTGTTCAAGAGCTATTTGATACAATCGGTTTCGTCGCGTGAGATGGCAATAATTATCCGGTTATCGAGACGCACCCGCATCCGGATTCCGTCATATCGCTGAAACGCGGAAGTGCGCTCGCGTGCACATCCGCGTGTCAATAATTAATTTAAATAACCGCCAGACAAATCAAATGCACGATTCGTCGATCGGCCCGGGAGAAAAATTCGTCGACCGTCCGGCGAGTCGCGAATCCTACGCGCGCGATTACATTCGCGTCGGCATTTTTGTAATTTCCCGTCGCAATATCGCACGCGAGTCGATCAGCTGTGCCCGAATTAACGTTTCGAGATATCGCTCGCGATAAAATCGAGGTAATTTCTTTCCCGTTTCTCTCTCTCTCTCTCTCTTTTTCTACCGTTTTATTACATGACTGCGACATACGGGTGTTTTCCCGTGGTGGTTTAGAGATCCGATCGCGCTGTCGAATCGTCCCTCCGCAGTTGACGAACATTACAACGGGAAATGTAATATTATTGTCCCACTTGAGACACGCGCGTAGTTATTTTTTGCGCCGGATGTTAAGTAAGGCGATACAGTGCGCGCAATTTTTTTATATATTACAATAAAAAAAAACCAAAAAAAAAGAAAGAGGTGAAACCCTTTCGCGATACGCAGCGCGATCGAAAAATGATACGTTCGTCGTGCGACGCACGCCGCGACGCGGATGAAATGCGGTCACGATATATATTCGCGTGGCAACGGGTATCGTATATGCACTCGAAATCGACGTCGAAATATCGCGACGTGGAGAAAATGGAATAAGTATTTCCGCCGGCGTGTTGCGTGCCACGGCATTTCCCACGTCACTTACGATGTCATCCCTCCTCCCCCGCGCGAGAGACAAGTAAAGGGAGGAGGAACGTGTATTCCGCTAATACGGAGAGGAAAGAGAACGCACGCGCGACAATCATTTTTTTTTTTTTTTTTTTTTTCGTGACGCTCGTAATTTTTCAGAACGGCGTTCCGAACGATCGTTTAAAAGTTTTTTTCCCATCCGCGGGCGAACAATCACGCATATTCGCGGCGTCCTTCCGCTCGTTTTTAATTACGGACGATGCGTTTTCAGACCCTCTAACGGGAAACATTGTCGACGCGCTCTTCGAAAAACGATATCTTCCTCGGCCATTGCGGCGTGGCACGGCGCGGTGCGGTGCGACGTGCGATTCGTTTCAGTTTGCGAGCGTACGAAACGGAATGCGGCAGTCGATATGCCCACCATCGATATCGACGATCGTACGAGTGGCGAGTAATGCGTCAATATTGACAGGACGCGTAGACAGGTCACGTTGCGCGCGTTTCGTCGATTCGTCGCGCGGTCGGCGGACGGACTCGACGGGCGTTCGACGAACAAACGGACGAACGACGGAGCGGCAGCGGCGGCGGCGGCGGCGGCGGCGATGGCGATGGCACCGTGGAACCCACACCGCGCATTGGTTTATGCCACCGGATTCTAATTCGTGATTCTAATTCGTGGGTATCGGGTGCGGTAGGCCGGCCGGTAGGTAGATAGGTCGCTCCGTGGTGATAGTCGCTCGCCAGCTCGCCTCGTGTGGCAACGGCGCGGGAATTCACGATGGCTCAAATGAAAGCACCCTTTCGCCTCCCCTCGTACACCCGCGGATCAATAGGGCACGGACCGACGAAACTTCTCCACTACCACTTTACTCCCGCGGCCGAGTCCAAATACGTACACGGCACTACGGTCCTCGTACCCATTTCCGGACCTCGTTCGCCCCGCTCACGCCATAAATATACAGCGCAACCGAGCTACCAATTAGCCATCGGGACACCCGTCGGCACTGCGTCGTCCCGGTAAGTTCATTCGCACCGGCGAGTCGGAGGGTCGAGCCGAAAATTGCAGGAACTCGGTCGAGAGGTCGCCTCCACTGGTCTTTTTTATTCCGCCTTCTCGCCAGCGTCAATGAGAGGGTATGTGTCTTTGTAAGAGAATTCGGTGCGATGATCCGCAACGATGATTAAGGTACGATATTCACAATTTGTCGTTTGCAAAAATACAATTACGTAATTTGTAATCTTTACGTGGCTGATTATATAGATGGTTATAATTGTTTTCTGAATTTTTAATTTTGTAAGAATTCTCGGTATGCCCCGATCGATGTTCCACCGCATATCAATTGCGTTCGCTCGGGAAGATTACTCAGTGGCCACACTGTTAATTCACTAGATCGAGACAAGTTGAGCAGATTAACAACCGCTTGTAATAATAACGATAAATGAAGGATCCAAGGCTTAATCGTCGATTGGTTTAGTCGAATTTGCTCATCGATTAGATATATACCCGGTACTCGGTATAATTAATTTCTACGTAGGATAAACGAGAGCGAAGCTTTTCACGCGAAAAATCGAACGGAAGAATGACAGGGTGGAAAAAACAGAGAGAAAGGGAAGAGAGAGAAAGAGAGAGAGGGAGGGGGGGGGAAGAGACAGTGAGGAAGAGCGAATCGCATTGTTGCTGCCGAACAACATTCGATGGTTCGGGTCCAGAGTAAGTTCATTCGCGAGAGTCGTCTCGAGAATCGGGAAAGAGCACGGGCTGTAGCTTCTGCCTGCTGTGTGAACTATTTCGATTCCGACGGGGTTGATAAAGTAGTGGA